TCATATCTATTTCCACTCCCTGTCCCACCAGGACCCTAGAGAAAGTTGCTTGCCTTATTCTCCAGATGACTTAAAATAAGCAATTAAAATTACTGATTGTTTTCTGATGTAACTCTGGTTTCTTGGCAAATCTGAAGAAAAACAACAGCAGCTTTAGAAACATTTGATATAAAGGTTAACTGAAAGTTTAAATGACTTCTCATGCTCCATGATCATTCTCGTAGTTTCCCCAAATTTTTGTATAACAAGCCATAGCAGAAGTTATCTTTTTTATTTACTTAATAAATATTTTTCTCCTTTGTAGTACATTATTTTTAAAATTTATTTTTGAGGTATAATTGACAAATAAAACCAACATGTATTTAAGGAATACAACCTGATGTTCTGATATACATATACATTGTGAAATAATCACCACATCAAGCTAATTAACATATCCATCACTTCAAATAACTATTTTCTTTCTTTCTTTTTTTGATGAGAATATCTAAGTTCTACCTCTTAGCAAGTTTCAAGTTGTTAAATTTAGTCGCATTGCTGTACATTAGATCTTCAGAATTGATCCTGCTTGCATAACTGAAGCTTCATATCCCTTGACCAAGATCTCTCTATTTTGCCCTCTTCAGCCACTGACAACCTCCATTGTACTTTCTGCTTCTATGAGTGTGACTGTTTTAGATTGCACAATGTGAGATTATTCAGTATGTGTCTTTCAAGAAATATTTCTTATGTATCTACTATGTCCCTGGTTTCTGTAAGGCTTAACTGCCCCAGGTTACACTAATCACAAGGAGGGAGTGGGAAGAGCCTGCTGCGGTCCCTCAGCTACTTTGTTATGATCCTGCTATTGTGATTAGGAGCAGAGCATCAACACATACATATTGTTGATAGGACTACAAATGGGAATTCAATATTTCGTTTTCCCCAGAATAAGCCACATCTGACTAAAACTAGTATATTAGGGTTTCTAAAGTTATTGCAAACATCCTGGATAACTGATAAACAAATATATATTGTTAACAGCATGCTATTATCTTTCTTCTAATTTATCATAAAACTTTCATCTAGAACTCTGCAGTCCCTTAAAATACCACATTTCCACAAAATTCTTGATTCTGTCCTCTCTATAAAACCGTTGGCATTTCTTTAGATCATATTTTTGGTATTTCACCCTTATACTTTTCAATAGCCTCCAAATTGGTCTTTAAGCCTATATATTCACCCTCATAGCTGTCTGCCACACTGCTACTAAAATAACTCTTTTCAAAGGAAATCAATTTATGTTTATATATTCGTCTGAACATCCATAAAATATGTCTGTAATTATGTTAGGCATTTTTCACCCTTTGGAGAGAAAGGAAGAAGTGCCTCATGGGAATATATCACTTATTCCAAAAATAAATACATTAAATAAGTGTGAAATAAATTAAGTGAAAGCTATAATGAGCAAATCGTTCCCCAGATTGTAAATCTGGGTGAATCATAGTCACTTATAGGTGCATCTTCAAGTGCCTAAAATTTCCCCCCTTGGTTTTCTCTACTAGACTTTTCCTTGTCAACTTTCTGTACAAATTTTTGTCTCCATAAACATCTCTATATATCACTCTCTATCTATCTCTATCTATCATCTATCTTTTTACCTATCTATCTATCTATATGCTGTTTTGCATATCTGCACATTTATAGAATTTCTCATCAATCTAGATACCCTTAAGTTCCCACTTATCCCATTCATCCACAAAGCACTGCTGGGTCACGAACCTTTCCAGAAAACCTTTTCTAACTTCTCCAGACAAAAGTTATTATTCTTTAAAAGTCAATTTCTGTGAATCATCCTTTAATTATTGCTTGGGTCACAGTGTGATGTAGTTATCAGTCTCTATATTTACAAGGCATTCTCTTCAGCTAAAGCGTGGGTTCCTGGATATCACAAACAATCTCTCTTTCACTTGTGTATCCTCCACACATATTTCTATGTCTACCCAAGAGTAGATGCATACATATATAAGTAGTATTGAAGCGGAACCCTTGGCTTTATTTTCTTCGTCTGAAATATTTGGGATAACTCTGATACTCTTCACATCAGGAGTAAGAATGTGTTCACCATGCAAGTCCATGTATTAATTGTTGCTGCCAAACCTGTATCTTAATTTTATCTTCTAGTCTTCTGATCCTTCTTCTATACTATACCTACCTTCAGCCTGTAGTGTAATGATCAAGTAGTCATAGAGTGGAAAACCTTGGTTTAGCTATGAAAATTAAATTTAAAATATATGATGGAATATGGGCTCAATTGTTTCATTTTGTTTTGTTTTTCCTGCCAGAATTCTAGAGAAAATCATTGGTATTTGAATCCATACTATGTTCCATCTTTTGTAAGGATATATTTTCACTTATTAGCAACGTCTCTGAAGTTGGATGTGTCTTACAATTAATGGTAAAGAAATAATTGTCTCATAGTTGAATAAGAAAAGATTCTTTCTTGGGCATGCATTTAGTGATGGTGAATTTTATAATACTTGGACTATGAAATGATAATGGACATAAAGAAGGAGTGCATGGTGAAACATTCCAGTGGTAGCATTCTTGAGAAACCTGGTAACAGTGTCCTAATTTATCCAATTGGCATAATCATGGATATGTTACAACTAATTTGAAATAAAATGTGATTTATTCCTGTCAAAGTCCTGTTTTTCAAAAATAAATGCTATGGATGAAATTGAGGCCACAGAATCCAGTGTATTTGTCTAAAAACATAGATAGTGACATAGCAAAACATGCAGTAGGATAACATGTAGTGTTTTTGCTGTTATTTGTCTGTTTCTTTGTTTACTTTTCATATGCCTCTGCAAAATATCATTCCTTGGTGACCTAAAAACTAAAAAAGAAAAAAACAAATAAGTGCTTATATTGATGTTGTTAACTTTAAAAGTGTAAAGCATGTTCTGCTGTATTCCAACAATATCCTGAACAAGCCCTAATTTCTATATTTTCAAAAATGATTCTACTTAGAATGCATATACCATCACAGTGATTTTAAAAGAATTAAACTAGTGGGTAGATTGGAAGAAAACTTCAGAATATGGGTCATTTTAACCTTTAAAATTGGCTCCCCAGCTCATAACTTGGTTATTTGCTGAAGAGTTTAGCTCAATTTTTAAAAAAATTCTGAACACTACTTTTTGCTGGTTATTGATTATTCTTCACAAATGAATTTAATCTGTAAGAGTAAATAGTCATATGATTGAGTTAATTTTCTTCTCAGAGTGTGAATATTAAACAAATCAACAGTTATATCAAAACATTTGCAAGAAATGCTGCAACTCCTTCCCCATTAAATGTGATGTTTAATTTTTGTTGTTGTTTATAAACGTCCTCCCCCCGCTGAGGATTATTGTGTCCAGTTAGAGGCACAATGTAGTTGTGAACTGCTGCCGAGACCAGCTAGGCAGCCAGCTGAAGGGGCGGGTGGAATGAATATACAGAACACGTCTATATAATAGACACAACACACTCTATATTATTTAATGAAGGAGGGGACCATCAGCCTCTAGGACTGAGGTGACATCCTTCTGATCACCGAGTATTTATTTGCAAGCCAAGAAGTACAAGCATAGCAGGAATTCATGCCAGCAGGAATATGCAAGTCAAAGCTGAGCAGTTCTAATCTTGGCCCTTTCCATGTACCCCGGCCCTACACAAGGCCATTCTCTGAGGGAGTATCCTGGGAACAAACTGGCAAGTTATGCAGATGGTGTTCCATTCCTGCAAGGGCCCAGCATTCTTAAGCCCCTTGCCTTCATGCTTGATAAGAGACTACCTTCTGGCCTTTGATTCCAAACCACAAACAATCTAACACAGTAATTTATGAGAATCAGCAAGTTGCATATTTCTCAGTCACCCATTTTGTAATTTGTTCTTGCTAAGCTTAAAGCCTTGCAGTAATGTTGCTATGCTCTCCTGCAACAGTGAACGTGTATTAATATGGCATTGGCTAATAGAAGAGAGGTAGTATATGTTACAGTCTTGCATGATACCAATGGATGTTGAAGAGAAAATTTTGTATTTTGAATGCTAAAAAGCATTATAAAATAATATATCCTTTACTCTTTATGAAAGAAGATGGAGAAGGGACTGTGGGATACTATACAGGGTCTGGCAGAAAGATCAACGTTAAGAAGATAATTTATTAAATAAATTAATATATGTTAATGAGGAAGAAAAAGATTCTCAATAGATGGTACTATAAACATTACCTTATAGTTTGGGAAGAGGAGCTGGACGATTACTTTGTAACCCTTCATTCATTCATTCAGCAAACATACACAAAATAAATAAAAACCAATACATTTAATACTCATTCGAATTTAAGTTAAAAACTCATTCAAATATGAGAGAAAATATAGAATGGAGTGGGATTTATTTTTGCTGGATTAATTTTTAAGCTGCAAAAGTTGAATATAAGTACATTAAAAATGTAAACTACATATCAAAAAACATGCCTAATACATAAAAATAAGTGGCATCACCAATTTGTGATATTTGGCAATTACCCTCAGAAATTAATGTCTTTAATATATAAAATGTCTTGTAAATTATTATGAAAAACCTTAACACACAGTGGAAGCAAGAGCAAAGTGAACAAAAACCTCACAGAAAACAGTTTAAAAATCATTGACATTAAATGCTTCCATTTTTCAACTTCCTTGTGTTTTTTTCTCCTCTGTCCTTAATTTTTAGTTTGACACAGAAATAAAGTTACCTCTTGGATAAAATCAGCATTAGAATGTTTTCTAAGTCTTATTTTATATAAATATATATTATTATAGAGAAAATGTTTCTTTATATACTTGTCTTGCTGTTTTATGTCCTTTGATTACATCATTTTATTTGACCCAAGACGTAAAATAGAGAAGAGGTAGCAGCAAGACACCAGCTCCACACAGAGCTTCCAGGATATGGTGACCATGACAGCAGTGGGCTAGAGATGGTCACAAAATGGTCATAAGCCATTACAGCTAGCAGGATGACCTCACTTACCAGACATGTGCAAAACAAGTAGAATTGCACAGCACATTCCAGGAAATAAATAGTTTTGTCTTCTTCTAATATGTTAACTAACATCATTGGCACAATGATGGTGGAGTAACAGAAATCCACAAAGAACAAGTGGCTGAGGAAAAAGTATTTGGGGGTGTTGAAGTCAAGAGTTGACCTAAATCAGTGCAATCAGGAGTTCTCGTGATCCCCATGGACATCAGGCAATGTCTGGAGACATTTCTGGTTGTCACAATAAAGAGGAGTTCTACCGACATCTAGCGGGTAGATGGGATGCTGCTAAATACTCTATGATGCACATGACAGTCTCCCCTCCTTCAGGCACACACACATACCAATGGCACATGCAAACAATGAAATTTTATCTCGTCCAAAATGTGAAAAATATCATGGTTGAGAAGCCTGCTATGGAGAGACATTTCAAAGTGTTTTGCACAAGGCCAAAATAATGCCTGTCCTTTCTTCTTCAGATGTAGTTCCAATGTCTGTGCCCCCAAATGAGTAGTCCTGAGGGCCACTTACTGCCACTCTCAGCATCAGAGTGATTGTCAGGAGAATCTCCATGAAGTCTTTACCAGATTCCATGGATGCAATTAGTATGAGAGAGGAGTAAGAGAGAAGGAGAGAGAAATCAAGCATTCTTCCCAATTTGTTTATATTCTTCTTCCTCTTACACTAATACTGTTACGAGATACTTGGTTCTTCCGAATAAATTGTTCTCATTTCTCATTGAACTTGTTTTTCAATACAGAAAGGGAAAATATTTTCATAAAGGAGTCCTCAAAACATGGCATTTCTTAAAACACTCTTTAGTTAAGAGAAGGCTAAATACAGACTTTTAAAAATATGTCGAACGCGAATGCCCTCTTTTACAATTCCTCCTTCTCTTACACAAGGCTATAATAAACTACTCTGCTAAGAAAAAAAAAAAAAAAAAAACAAGCTTCCAGATCCCAGGAAATATCATTCATGTCCATTCCCAAAAACCAGAGTACAGTCCAACTAACCAACCTGTAGGATAAAAATTGTTTCCCCTGTTTTTGAAGATGCTATGATGGAAAATGACTTAGGCTTTATGTTTTGTGTGTGTGTGTATCTCAGGGGCCTATTCTCCTTAAGCTTCCCAAAATAATCACTGATCACTGTGGGACATCAACATGATGTCAAGAAAACAACACCAACTTGGGACTCAAACAATGACTTCTATGAGATATAAAGAGGGGGAAATGCTATCCCAACTTGGTACACATTATTATAATTCAACATGATTCCTTGCAGAGTTCATGATGAATTGCAGAGCACTGAATGCTGCATCCAAGCATTGCTCTGTGAGTCAGGGATCACATCGCCATTGTGAAATATGTGAATAGGTCTTATAAACTTTGCCTGTGTTAGACTCAAAAGCTCCTTCCTGGAGGGGATAAGGTCTGAAGCCACACCAGAGTCCTGCCAAATGCCAGAAGGAGGTGGGGATAATGAACTTCTTTTATGGAGAATAATAATAATTGCTCACATTTATTGACCACTTCCTGTAAGCAAGTTACTGTTCTGAAGACAACTATAAACACATTTCATCTTTATAAGAATAAATGATTGGTACAGTTATGTATCTTTATGAATGAGATGACTAAGGCACTGTCAGGTCGAACTTGCCCAAAGTCACACATAGAACCAGTGGTAGTATGAGACCATATGCTGCTTTTTGGGTTGTACCACACATTTGACCCTGTGAGGAAGAGCAGAGCTACTGAATGATGCTGGGATGGCATAGCCCTTACCCAATGCCAGAGACCATGAAAAAGATTGTCTCAAGGATCTCTCTCAGCTCTGCTCCTTTTCTGACCATATGTTGTATCCCTAAACCAACAGTGTTCAAACGACTGTCTGTGGTTTGCGCCCTTTGATATACTAAACATCTCAAGAATTCCATGGATGTAATTAGTTACAGGTAATATCAATAAATATATGTTTTCCTAATATTGCTCCATCTGATAATTTTTTGTGTTTGAGGAGCGTTTCTGAGTCTCCTTTCCACTTAGCACTCTCATGATTTGATTTTTCTCATTTTTCAAAAGTGAAGATTCCTCTTATCCATTCATTTATTACTATGTGAATTACCCCTATTAGAAAAACAAAAGCAAACTTCCAAAACCTAAAACATAAGAACAATTTGAAATATTGTTTTACATGCATCCTGAAGTTTTCTTTTATCAAGACACGTCAAATCCACGACTTTGGCATGTAGTACATATTTCCTTTCATGCAAAATGGTGGCATTAGACATTTACTGCAGCCATTTCAATGATGTTTTGAAATGAGATATGTAGGAGATTGAAGACAATACGTCTTTTCAAGCTTTGGTACTTTGGTAGTTTTCAAAGAGGGAGCTCTCTCTCTTTCTTTCTCTCCTTTTTTTTTTTTTTTAACATGGGCAGCTGAGCTAACATCTGTTGCCAATCTTCATTTTTTCCCCTTCTTCTTCTTCTCCCCAAAGCCCCACAGTACATAGATGTATATTCTAGCTGTAGGTCCTTCTAGTTGTGCTATGTGCGATGCCACCTCAGCATGGCTTGATTAGTGGTGCTATGTCCACATCCAAGATCTGAACCAGCAAAACCCTGGGCCACCATAGCGGAGGGCACGAACTTAACCCCTTGGTTAGGGGCTGGCCCATCATAATATTTTTTTAACGTCTATTCTTTTTGTTCTTAGTGCACCCTGAAACTACAGTCACAAAATGTATCCTCCTAAAGGGGAGAGTTTCATGACAGAAAAAATAAAATATTATCTAAAAAGAGTGCCATTGTCAGTGATGTTTTATATCATCTAGGCATCCCACTTCAGGAAAGCTACTTGCTTATCTGTTTGTCCTAGAATTAATGACATGGCGAGTGTTTTTAAAAACTAACTTAAATATAAATATTTTATTGAAATTTCATGGTCCTTATCCATAAATTGAATAATATCAATATGAAGCTCTAAATTTTTGATGAAATGTATTTAAAACACATACAATAAATGAATGCATTAATAAAATATTGTATCTTTTGCAAGGTTCAATGAAATCAACAACGTGTCAAATTTTCTAAACCTTTAATTCTATTGTTTTAATCAAGATGCATTTAAGAGGAAGAATAACAGATATGCTTAATTGTTGTATGGTACGACTTGGAAGTTGTTTGTGGTAACATTTTCAAAACTTAAGAAAGTGAGTGGTTCTAATGGTTGCATAGCAAACCACTCCAAAATATGTTAGTTAAAAACAACAATTACTTATTGCACTGGTCACTATTACATGAGTCAGTAAGTTAGTTCTGTAATCTGATCCTGACAAGGCTGATCCTGGCTTGTTTTGCTATGTGTATGATATCAGCTTGGCAGGTTAGATGATCTAAGAGGCTTCATACTCAAGTCTGGTGGCCATGTTCCTCATTATCCAACACTCTAGTCTGTTCCTATGCACATAACAGCTTTTCAAAGAGTCTGAGAAAATTCCCAAAGATTGCGAAAAAGTCAAAAGGCCTCTCAGAGGCTTAAAAGGTCACAGTGTCATTTCAGCAATCTTCTGTTAGACAAAGCTAGTAACAAGAGCAGCTTACATACCAGGAGTGGAGAGATTGATTCCACTATTTGATCAGAAAAGGGCCAAGAGTCATGGATATGGGAAGGACTAAAGAATTTGGACCATGTTTTCTACCGCACTCGGCAACAAATCCTTTTGAAAGATATGATTTCCAAAATTTTGGCCTTTGACAAAATTGGAGTCAATCCAATTTTGTTCAATACATTATTTAAAAAAGCTTTGATGAAAGATCATCATGAGAAATTGGCATGTAACTTCGATGGAGTTCAAAGAATTGAGTGATATTTCTGTTACAGCACTATTTCTGGTAGAATTTCCATCCCCATTTACCTTTAATATGAGCAAATAGTCTCAGCATTTTCATTTATTAAAAAGTAGAAATATAAATGATGCTAAAACCCCTTGCCTTTTAGCATTAAGTGATGTCTTTCCAAAGATAGGTTAATTAATTGTGATAGAAAATCCAAAAACCTACTCATGATATTTCTAATACAAACAAATGTTTCCAAAATATTTTTCAATTTTGATTAATTATATTTTATCCAAATTTTAAATGTAATTATATTTTTAATTAGTTGTATAATTATTATTTTATCATTAAATGGTTGACAATGCAGAAAGAAAAACTTTTGATTTGCACATGACCAAAAAATATGAAGACTACTGCTATGAGTCATGTTCTATATGGAAGTAACAGAATTTAGATAAAGAATATGAACTGTCATAACTAGAAAATAAAAAAAAAATATGATGTTACCAGTGTTTACTGGAAAATGTGCTTCTGATGTGTCTGGTGCCTTCAATGATTTCATTAATTCTATCAACAATTGCTCTTATAATGTTGACCTGGTCACTTAAACATCATGGACCTTGGTTTCCTCAAAGTAAAAGCTAAATGAGTTGTGTTACTTCTATCACAAAATGTGATCATCCTTGGTCCAAGAAGGACAGAAGTAAAATACAATCTCTATAAAGAGGCATTAACCATCATTGATACAATTTAAAATTAATATAAATGATTTGCTAATTTCAAAGAAAATTAGACATTGTATATTTGCCAGATGTATAGTGAAAGATAAGTTTGTGAACATCTAGAGAAGCAGAAGTCAATAGGAGAGAAAAGCATTCCATAATCAGACATCTGATATGTAAAACACTGTTTCTTACATATTTTATATTTCAATATAAAATGGTTATTTAATTTATTCCTTATCACATAATGTTTATAAATGGAACATTTTAAAAATGATCATATGTTTAAAATAACATGAACATTCCAAATAACTTTATTGAATCGATATAAAAATTTCCCCAAGCTTATTTTTTTCCTTACCAAAATACCTGGAAATATATTTCTCCCACTACATTAATGATTAGTTTGAAATTTTATCTAGATATATTGACTAAAGAGAAAGAGAAGGGTGGGCAAGTTATTCAAGCAAAAGTTAGTTATTAATGTTAGAGAGATGCAGTGCTTTTTAATTTGCCAGATTAAATAGGTCTTAAGGCTAATTACTGCCCGGTTTTCATTTTATTTTGAATAAGGTTATATAGGCAATTAGTTTTCAACACGTGAGGCAGCTCCAAACACGTTTTTTTTTTTCCCCTTTCTTAAGGTAGGTGTGCAGTTGAGAAGGATTGAGAGATTACGTTCACATACAGAAAAAAAGAATCATAAAGAATTGATCGTGTTTTTGATGTCTTTATAGGAAGAATGATAGCATGAAATACAGGTGTGGTAGACACTCATCGTGATTACTTTTTACCTATAGGATGTTTTGAGATCCAATATACTATTTCTAAGCCTTTGGTGGACCCTATTACAGCTTATCATACTGCCACATGGGAACTCATTTGAAACACATTCAGAATAAGTACCATGTCTTATCAACTTTTCGTTCATGCCAAGTAACCTATATATACAATATGACAGAGATGCACACACACACATAAACACACACAAATACATGTTATAAGTATTAGATCAATAAAAAATGTGCTG